CTGTTATCATTTTGCAGTTCTTTAGAAACAGTACAAAGGCAAATTACATGCATGGTAATATGCTTTTTGTGTATCAGTACAATGACTTGTGCTTTTATCTTCAATAAGTCTTAGTCTAATAATTGCTTTTTAAAGTAACTTTGCATTTCTGTGTGAAAATATAAAACTACCTTATTTTCCTTGACATTAATAATCATAAAATTTACTGATGAAATACCATATTGGAAATAATTATGGAAATGGTGAGGAAAAAGAATATAAAAGACAAATACTACAAGATGCCACCCATTTAATACGTAATAATGAACTTCAACAGAGCAGTCATGTGTTTATAGTTTACACCATAACTGAATATCACCCAACAAATTAGAAACTGCCACAGCAGTATAAAACCTATAAAATACAGGAAGTAATACTTTGGCTAATTGTTCTAGTAGTGTGAATCCAGTTGTGGCTCCCAGGACTAAGAGACCTCTTGACAAGTGTGTAGAAATAAAAGTTATGGCTGGTGTAGGAGACGTATACACATTTATGAAAAAGGTAAGTGAAACTGGAACTGTTAATAATAGAAGTGATCAAGTTGGAGAAAAAAAAGAATCACTAAAAGAGATGTGAAATATCTCAATGTATATTCTTTGCATAATAAACAATACTTGAGTATAGATAATGACAATGACCTGAATGCAACCTTGAAAACAGTGATATGCACATTAACATTGAGTGGTCTCAATAAACATGTAGCTACTTGAAAACCATTGCTGAAAAGCAGTTACAAAACAAAAGACTTAAAAAGGCTATTTAGACCACAAACAGTGGACTGGGCAAAGCTGAGGACATGTGCTCTTCAAAAAAGAATCCAAGTTCAAATTGTTCAGCAACTATCAATGGCAGTTTGTTTTACAGCAGAAAGAAAAATGGTATCATATAGGCCAATGATGTTGATCTACACAAAATTGGTGGCACCTGACTGTACAGGTAGTGTGTAATCCATGAGGCCATTCAAATGATCCCACGTAAACAGCAAATGTGGTGCAATTATATCTTGAACAGTAAAGAGACCAGACCAATGGAACACTCACACCCATGGCTCGGCTTGCATAAAGTCCAAGTATGAACATTCTTGAGGCTGTGTGTGTGTGTGTGTATATATATATATATATATATATATATATATAGACAACGTGGCGTGGACGAACCACCT